ACCTCCATGGAGAGGCTTTAAGCACTCCCCACTCCCCATTCCCGCCGAATCGCTGAGAGATGATAGATCATTAATCATATGCAGCGTTGATTAGCCCAAAGACTCCGCATGGAATGACATATTACAATCACAACGCAAAGAATTCATCATATTTTGAGGATGGATCCATTAATAACACAATAATGTAACCTCTGACAAGGGGAGTCTAGAAGGAAGACTTTAAAGAGCCAGTCGGGAGCTGTGGAGATCAACGGAGCGCATAATAAATTGCATTTTCCTGGGTTTTGGGTCCCAAAAACCCTTTTCTGTTTGTTTTTGCCGGCGGAGCATAAAAGAACATTCAGCACATGAGAGACTGAGAGACGTCGTGTCTACGTTTGTCAGTTGCATAAAAACATGAAAATGCCAACAAATTCGCTCGGCCATGAAGGGAGCAAAGGCAGGAATGGGAGACGGGCGGACGGGAGGACGGGAGGATGGGAGGACGGAGGAAATCCATAGCACATGCCAAGAGCAGGCCTTGGCCAGTAACACCGCAGCGGAAATGGTGCAAAAAAGCGGAACATAACGGAACGGAACCGAACGAAAAGGGCGGCAGAGGGGAAATTAGAAAATGCCACAGTGGGAAAGGCACAGAGAGAGAGGGAGGGTGGGTGAGGGGGGGAATCGCTTGGAGGGATTTTATTTATTATTTCCATATTTTTTCCATCCTCCCCTTCCCTGGCATGACAATTTAGACCCCCCTTCCTCTCTCTCTCTCTCTCTCTTGCTATCCCTTTCGCTGCCATGGACATGCCATGCAAAATTAATGCCGAAAGCCAATAGCTTTGTCCGCTTGTTGATCTAGTCACAGTTACCCGATAAAGTATGCGACCAGGCGACCCCTGATTGAATCCCGCGAAAAGTTTCGCCGTCTGCAGCCCCCCCCTCCGTGCCATTTTTTCGCTCCGTTTAATTATCGAGCAGCAGGCAAAGAGGAGAGAGCAGCAATAGAGGGAAGAAATCGGAGACCAAGAAGCGCCAAGTGAAAACAAAGGAGAAAACAGAGGAGAGATAAAGGCAAGCCGAGGCCTCGGACACCCTGGCAAAGGCCATTCCTCCGCAGGCAGAGCTATCCGTAAGATACAATTCATAGGGAAACTCAAATTGGATTGGAATTTCCATGGATTTTAATGGTTAATACTTAGAAATGAAAGAGCTTGGCGTGCAAAAATCCTACAATACTTCCCGAAGCCCCTAGATCGCCACTTGGCTGCTCGAGAGACTCCATCGTATACTCTACAGAGTCCTGGACTCCTTCTCTCATAGCCCCTTTGCCAGGGTATACAAAAACAAAAAAAGCAAACAAAAAAAACCCAAAGAATTTAATTAAACTTTTTCTATGTTTATTTCTGCGCTTTTTGTTCTGTTTTTGCAGCAGCAGCAGCCACAACGCATTTTAATTAGTTTTTTCTTCTCTTTTTTTTTTTCGTTGTGAAGAGCAGCAGCTTGGAAGGTAGGAGGAGTGGCAGCGAGAGGGGGAGCGACAGAGCGGCAGAGCGGAAGTGTATGGCATGTGTGCTAAAAGCAAATCAAAAGTATTCGCCCAGCAATTGACGCGTCCTGTGTGTGTGTGTGTGTGTGTGTGTGCGTGTGTGTGCGTGTGTGTGTGTGTGTCCTCTTTGGCAGTCACTGTACGCGCGAGTGTGTGAGCGCAGCGCGCTGTCAAAAAACTTTCCAACAAATGTCGCTCACATGCCACACACACACACAGAAAAGCCCTCCCACAGATGCAGGCAACAAAAACAAAAAACAAAAAAAAAAAAAAGGTGTTGAGCATTAACATTTCATGCGCATAAACAAATGAGTTTTTCAACATCAAGTTTTGATTATATAACAAGCTCGTGGCCCACATATTTTGCCAAGGGACACGCCAATGTCCTCCTGCCATCACCCCCTCCCCCCTGGACAAGCGGAAAGTACAGTGCGTTTCGAACTCGTCAACTATTAGCCTAGAGCCCTAGACGGCTATTAAATATTTAAACTTATTTTTATTTGGAACTTATTTTTCTCTTTGGTCTTGCCATGTCTTGCCACATCTTGCCACGTCTTGCCACTTTGATGTCTAATTGAAACTGACTTTTGTCACAGGTGTGTCCAACGGATTGCCTGAAGAAGCGCATTATGCCGGTGTGTTGCACATCCTCTATCGCCAGGCCAATAATCCCCTAGTGAGGAAATGTACGAATATGTATATTGCATTTATGGCTGCCCAAGCGTGTACTAAATCCGGGCGAAGGGCTCTCTCCCTCCTTCATCTGCGTGGGGCGGGGCAGTGGCGCCTCCTCAACGCCTGCTGCACGCTGATAAGTGTGCCCCCAACCCACACGTGGGCTAAACAATACTTATACAAATTATTTAAAAGTACAAAAGGTCTAAAATTGGGAAAAATTAACCCAAAACTTAGTGAACTTTATGAGCGCTTTGGATAAAAGGAAAAAAAAAACGCATTTAATATAGAATCTCGGGAAAATTATATTTTATAAAGAGGCAAATATGCACCGGAACAAAGTTCAGTCTAGACGTCGAAGCCACCGTGTTCTTGTGCAGATTTTCCTTTCAAAAGCTCTAAAGTATCTTTTTTTGATCGAAAGCTACCAATTTAGCCAGCTGAAATGGCCAAAGACCCCACTCAAGCCACTGGCTGAAGGAGCCGGGCCGAGCCGGCCATTATGGGTGCCCAAGCGTCATCCACATAAACGCCTGTAAAACCTTTCAAAATCCATCAATTCTTGGGATTTTTGTTTTCATTGATTATTTAATTTAGTGAGAATGAAAAAAGACAATAATTTCAGTTCAAAGAGATCCTTTACTCAATTTGTTCAAAAAAAAAGGGCATCCATCTTTGCACGTTTCGAATTTTAAGGGCCTTAGCTTTTATCATATTTCGAATAAGTTTTGTTAAACTCTCGAATAAATTTAGTAGGTGGCTTGCCCAAAGACTAACCGAATCCCTTTGGTGCAGACTCGGGCTTTTCCAATGTTTTTTTTTTTAAACAGAGCCCATCGATTTTCAATGGTATTTAGATCTGGGCTATTTAGCAGGCCACTGGATTATTAGGACGTTTTTTTCACGAAATAAAGCCGTGCGCGTCTTCCAAAATATAAAGATAATATTCTTTCTTTATTATTCCATTTGAGAACTGCTGCATTTTTAACGAGTTTTACACGAGTTTAAACTGAAAAGCGATCAAAATGTATCCACTTGTGCTAGCCACTGTATGTATTTATTAGTTTATATTCCCCAGATTGAATACAAATTTAATGAATAATTCTCATTGTATATTATTGTGGCTGTTTATAGTTTCAACTGCAGATAAGGAGTATTATTTTGTGGTTAGCTGTGGGCTTTTAAGCGGATTATAAAGCTAATTGTTAGGAGTCACTCCTATTACTCCTACACTATTCCACCCATTGCCCAATATCCTGGCTGTTTCTCTCTCTCTCTTTCGCTTTCGGAAACGATTCCTTCTGTCTGTTACACGAATTGCATATACCCCAGAGTACTCTGTAAGGAGTCCATTTTCATCTTCAACTTTAATGAAAAAGCAACTTTCCCCACCACCATAGAAAAAAGGCAGACAATGTGAAAATTAACAAAAACGAGGGGGAACGTTGTGAGTTGCTGCGGACACCGCAACTCTACGGTTATACCCGATACTAAGTCAGTATGGCTCTCCTCCGGCAGACGCCGCTAATATTTAACGACACGACAAAGAGTGCGTGCGAGAGAGACAGAAAATCAGTCTGAGCGTGACGTCGGGCGCTGCGTAGCCAGTGCAAATTGATTTGCTCCTTTTGGCTATGAAAATGATCTGATCTGATCCAGATTCAGCAACCTGATAGATATGGTTATTATCTATGATTCTGCGTTTTTAGTTTTCTCAAATCTGCAATATTGTGGATGCAACAGATTTTCGTCCTTTGTGGGGGCGGATGGGGGTGGGGCGAAATTCTGAGATATACGTTTTATAGTGTCATCTTAAAGGAGTGTGTGTACCAAATTTGGTTACTCTAGCCTTAATAGTCTCTGAGATTTGTGGTTGCCTCAGATTTTCGTCCTTTGCGGGGGCGGAAGGGGGTGTGGCGAAATTTGGACAGGAAACGGTCAAGGTCCGATATCACAGGAGTGTGGATACCAAATTTGGTTGCTCTGGCTTTTATAGGTTCTGAGATCCTTGAACTCATATTTTGCAATTGGCAAAACCGACCATGAAACCTGTGTGTTAGAGTGAGACAGAGCGAGAAAGAGTGAAATTGTTTTCGTGATTCTGGCTGTAATAATTATACGATCTGGTTCAGATTTTGCACTCTAGAAGATATAGTCATCTTCTACGATTCTGCGTTTTTAGTTTTCTCGTATCGTCAAAATTGTGGATGCCACAGATTTTCGCCCTTTGTGGGGGCGGAAGTGGGCGGGGCAAAGTTTTGAAATATTTTTGGAGCAGTGACATATCACAGAAGTCTGGATCCAAAACATCGTTGCTCTAGCTCTTATAGTCTTTGAGCATTAGGCGCTGAAGGGGACGGACAGACGGACAGACGGACAGACGGACAGACGGACGGACGGACAGACGGACAGACGGACAGACGGACAGACAGACATGGCTCAATCGACTCGGCTATTGATGCTGATCAAGAATATATATACTTTATGGGGTCGGAAACGATTCCTTCTGGACGTTACACACATCCACTTTTACCACAAATCTAATATACCCCAATACTCATTTTGAGTATCGGGTATAAAAAATGAACACAAAAGTAAGCATAAAAGTTATGCGGAAGTTTAAGAAAGGAGTTTAAGAGTAGACGAGTGGCAGAGTGGACGTGGACCCTTGCTACCCCTTTCCCTCTACTATGGCATCTTCCCTGGCCATGGAATCGCAGAATTAACATGGAAAACTTTCGGGGCAGAATGCAAATTTAATTAACTAATTTATATGTTTGTGGGAACTTACCCCTCCACGTCCGCCAGAGCCCTCAATGCTATCATCGTCGATATAGATTGCATCTCTGGGACCCGAAGCCGCCGGGGATGCTGCGCCTCCTGACAGAGTGGATGGCTCTGCCGCCGATGCTTTTATAGATTTCTGCGAATATCGAAAAAGGTCAAACAAAAAATGAGTGCTTTTTCAAATAATAATATACATACATATATATACGAGGGGTGGTACGGGGGGTAGAAGTTTTTTAATTTACGTTTCCTTTTGGAGCATTTGTGGGGGGGGGGGAAATGCAAATATTTGCATTTCATTAATTAGAGGGGAAGTCAAAAAAAAAAACCGTCAAGGAGTGCCATTTCGGAAAAGAGCAGGAAGCACCGACTGCAACCGTCAATAATACGAGTGGAAAATGCCGGCTGACCGCAGCAGTGTCCGGGAATGCCGGGCCCCATGCCCCATGCCCCATGTGTGTGGAGGTGGAGCCCCGGCCATGGCCATGGCCATGGCAATGGTTATGGTCGTCGTTCACAATGGTATGGCCACCGCATAAAACAATTAATTAAGAACAATTCCTATGGTATATTTCAGCAGGAGGGGGTGGTGTAGGCAGTGCAATTTTAATGATGCACTGGAAAAATCAATGGGAAATGCAAATTGTGTGCCACCTCCCTGTAGCTCCCTGCACCTCCAGCCCAGTTCCGCTTTTGTTTCCTTTACGACCTGCCAAGTGGTGGAAATGTGTGGCAAAAAGTCGCCGAGTTTCGCCGAGTTGCGCCGAGTTTCTCTGTGCTTTTTTCGAGCCCCGTCCGAATATTGCATAATTAATGGAGCCTCCACGTTTACGCTCAAGTCCAGGGCTAGGAGTTGTCCGCATTTTATGGACAAACATAAAAAAAAACACAGACAGGAGGTTTGGGGCAGGGGCGGGGGCGGGGGGGCAGAGTCGGTGCCCCCTGCCGTGCCTCATTAAGCCAGTGGGGAAATCGAGCGCATTTCCCTTCGCTTTGTTGGGTTTTCGGTTAAGTGGGAATTGATGAGGGCTCTGCGATGAGGGCCACTCGCTCGAAGGGGGCAAGGCGGTGTCCATGGCTCGTCTCCCCTGGCGGTAGCTGTCTCTATTTTTAATGAGAGCCTCCATAATGTATTCAAGCCTTAATATATGTATAATCAGGCACTGCCTCCTCCGGTATTCATGTATCTCCCTATCTAAAGATATCCTCTCTTTCTGTACAAAATCTAGTCCTATCCATGCATTTCCTCTGTGTTTCCTTCTATAATGATAGTTTTCCCACCCTAAACTCCACTATAATTCCACATTTTCTTACAGATTTTCTTCTCCTCATAAACTGCATTTCTTGTCATAAGCCAAAGGCGAGGCCAAAGGTCCTTTCGATGCAAACTGCTAACCGGATTAAGTAAGAGTCGACCATTTTTGTTTTTGTTGCGCTCCGAAGTTGGCGGCAAGTCAAAGTTCTCAAATAAGAGCTTTGGCTGCTCATCCTGCCTCATCTGACGCCTTATCCTCATCCTTCTCTTGGCACTGTCTCTCCCTCTCTCTCCCTGATGCCCCTCCTGCCTGGCGTTAAGTTTTTGGCGACCTGTCAAGTCCCCCGTGATGACGTCTTTCATTCTGCGGCTGCGGCTCTCAAACACCAAACAATTTGCCAGTCCGTCCGCCTGGCTTTTCACCGCCCGTAGGTGTGGAGATAGACTCAAAAGTTGCGGTGCCACACGGAGGAAGTCCCTTCTCGGGTGGCTTTCCTTTGACGGGACTCCGCCACTGGCCTCATCCAATATTGATGGGCTTCTGTTCTCCTGTTCATCTTCCTGTTTTTGTTTAATTGAAAAATTCCGCTCTTTGGGATAGAAACATTTACGGTCGACCGCTTTGCTCTGTCCGATCTGCTCTGCTCTGTCTGTTTGTCTGTTGCAACGATTTTCTGGCTGGGAAAACTGGCAAAATATTCATTGGGGAAATGAATGTTTTTTTCCCATTTCTAGTCTTCCTTTTTGGCCATCTCAATTCCCCGTTTCGCTCCGCTTGTTTCATATTTTAAAATGGCAACAATTTGCCAAAACGTTAAATTGAATTGCAGGCAGTTGGGTCTCTGGTCTCCCGTTTCTCTTCCCCGTTTCCCCCCCTTTCAGCGGTGACAAATTGTGTCCATTGTGGCAGTCAAAATAGTTCTGTGCCCCAAACACCCAGTGTTGGATGCAGCTAAGCCCCTGGCTTCTGGCCCCTGGCCCCTGGCCCCTGGGCCTGGCCATAAATCAATACAAATATTGACAGTTTTTCTGTGTGATCGCCCGAACGCGCACTTTTATCAGCATTCCATGGAGAAAACCAGAGAGTATGCTGTAGCTCGACAACGTTTCGGCCCAAGGATACCCATTATCCTGGCAAAAAGAGCCGAAATCAGGAGTTCCCGCTGCGATTAAGGGTATACACAAAAGAAAACCAACAAAGGATAAGTGTGTGTGTGTGTGTGTACATTCGTTTGGATTTTTCATTTACCATTGTTTATGGTTAACAAATATTTGTGCAGCACACGAAAACAATCTATTGTTGTTCGCTTTTGTGCGTGTGCGTGTGGAACGGAAGCCAATTTGCAAATTTTTGAACGCCACTCAATGGTGTTACATCAGGGCAAAAAGTAGCATTTAATAGAATCCCCAGAATGCCACAATTGATTTATGTTTGTGTGAGCGCCACATAACGATTTCCAGTGGAATGGGTCGCAAAAAACAGTTCGATCCGGCTGTGATCCGATTGCTGAATGCTCATTTAACGTGGTAAAGCTCTCTGTGAAAACTCTGTGGCGTGACTGTACCTCGCACTGACTGCAGTCGCGCCCCAAAAAGTAGGCAATACATTTCGAGTGGCACCAAAGGAATGCCAGGGCAAAGGGCATGAAGACTGAAGCACCCGCACCACAAATCCGAAAAGGGCAGGTCAGCACAGAGAGAGAGAGAGAGAGAGAGAGAGATAGAGAGAGAGAGAGAGAGAGAGAGAGAGAGAGAGAGAGATACTATTCAGACTGTGTGTTTGTGCCGTCATTATGTTGATGACAGGCAGCTTTTACTTCGAGATTGGAATCCAAAGACAAGAATTCCGAGAAAAGGGACGACGAGGCCTTCATTTCATTCCTTTGGCCAAAGTGAATGATAAATAAACAAAACGCGTTGACGCTTTTCCGTATCGAACATTTCCATTTTCCGTTCTCTTTGGCTGTCTCTCCGCTGTGTGCGTGCCCTGTGTCCATTGAGGTGTCAAGAAGGTAAGCCTTCGTCCCCCTCGAATAAAAGCAAATCAAAACTTATTATGCCACACGCACACACACACGTGGCAGAGTGGCAGAGTGGCAGCGTGGCAGAGTGGCAGCGAGAGGCTGCGAGATTGTATTTTATTGCTCTGTTTTGTGTGCGTGTGTGTGTGGCACTGGGGATAACTTTTATGTTTATTGTAGTCGTAAAAGAGGCCAAAACTTGACTCCTTGTTGCACCGAAACCTAATTGAACAGCAAAATTATTGCCCCATTGCCCCATTGCCCCACAGGGACTCCAAGGGAAGCGAAGGACAACAGACTGGACCGTAGAATGCGTAGGGATTTCTCCTCTAAAGATTGGAGCATTAAATTTTCATTCAACATTCATTCCACATGCAAATTGAGGAATGTTCGGCATTGCAATTAGCACAACGGCCGGAAGCAGGCAGCAGGCAGCAGAGGAACTCAGGCAACCAGGCACAATGTCTCCCTTTGAGGGAATCGCATCTCGCAGCTCGGTCGCTTCTCCCGGACGCACTCACATGTAAATAAGGCTAAAAGGTACAGGAGGCTGGCAGCAACAATCTTTGCCAAGTGACTTGACACAAAGCCAATGGCGGAAATTGCAAACGTTCACAGAGAGAGAGAGGGAGAAGGATGGAAGGAGAGAAACAGACACACACACAATGAAAGGGGAATCCCGTGAATGCTGCTGCTGCGGGGAGGGGGAAAATGCAAAAGCGTGGGGCACAAAAGTATGCCACAGACAGACAAACTGTGAGAATCGTTATAACACTGACCTACAGAGGCCACCTTCGCCTCGGCCTCCGCCTCCGCCTCCGCCACCGACGTCACAGCAGCAGGGGAGCCCCCACTCTGCCGTGAATCGATGAATCGTATCTAAAATAATAAATACGCATACGCACCGATGTCCTCCTCCTCCTCGAATGTGGCCAGCAACAAGGCTTGCTCCACGCTTTTAGGCGGTCCTCCTTGCCACAACAGCAATTGTCACTGTGTGCGAGCGAGTGGCAAGATGGCGACAGGCAGAGAGAAGAAACGGATAGAGTGCGGGGCGCACTGCGCTCGACAGCCAAATACACAACAACCGAACACTTTTCCACAGGGTTTCCAACTGACACCAAAACAAGCTGTGCCTCTGGCAGGCGGCATCGTGGGAGCAGCATCAGCAGCCGAAGCAGCGGCAGCGGCAGCGAAAGAGAGCCACAGAAGCTTCGATGCTTGCTGGTCCACATCAGCTTTAGGGCTCTTTAGGGGGTGGGGGGCTTTGGAGGCTGACGACGGCGACGGCGACGGCGACACGACTCTCTCGTTTCGTTCGTGACCTGCGCACGTCGGCAGCGAGCCGAAAAAGCGTTTGGTAAAGCTTCGGGCACGAAGTGGAACTGGATCAGACTTCGGCTAGGATTTTATGGCAAGTCTGCTCAGGAATAAGCTTCAACAGAGTTTGATTCTAAGGCAAAAGCTGAGCTCTCTTTATCGCAGCTTAAAAGCTTTCACATTAAATATATTTGCTTTCAGATGCAAAAAGCTTGTCGAGCTCTTGCAAGCTGTAAAGCTTTTAAAGTTGTTGAAATTGTTCTCCTGAATTAGGAGTCCCAAGATGAAAGCCTTAAAGCTTTACCCAAAGAAGCTTTTCACCTCATTGAAATGTGGTTTCCAATATTTCCGCAAAATACCGCCAGAGGTCCCTGCCACAGACTGTTCGAATTGGTGGAGCAATTACCGAAGCCATTCTACCAAAACGGACTCTAACGAGTGCAACTTTGTCTGAAACTTGACAAGAAATAAGTGACGGAAGAAGCACGAAGGCGGAGAGCTGCGGGGGCAAGGGGCCATCCAGACAGGCTGGAGATTGGA